CTCTTCCTTTTCCCCTTGTCCCTCCCTCTCCTTCTCCTCTCCCCTCCGATTCTTCCACCTTTTTCCCCCATGGGGCGCGCTACGATGAGGTCTCGAGGTGGATTAGCCCCCCCCACTCCCGCCAGCCGCCCACACCTGCGCTCGACGTCAGGTCCGAGGCCCCCCAAATCATGTTCACGCCGACATGTAGTTCTGTTTATCCTCCTGGATCCTATCGCCCATGTACCCCCTTTGAGATTGACATGCATCTGCTGAGGGCCTCGCGGATACTGTCAACGTGAATCCTTGCGAGCACTTTTACGGCTTCTGTATTTTCTTGGCGAGTTTGAGTCTCACGGCTAAGGCCATGCTTGCTGCGTCTCTTTGTGGTATGACGTTCCATGTTTCGTTGCACGCCAGGAGATGTCGCATTCGGCATTGACAGCTGTGCTGTCAGTCGAGTAGTGCAGACAGAGAGGGTGAGGGGCGAAAGGGGATTGAAGAACACTTGACGACTGGCGTGGTTCGGGAAATTGCTGCTGCTTGCGACATTGATGAACGACGGTGTCCACGCGATGATAAGTCAGCGTGGAAGCAGAGGCGGGGCCGGATGATGCAGAAGACGGTGACAAACCAATGTGTTGCGGACCGCTGCTGGAAGTGATAAGCAAGTTACAATGTGTAAGAATTCACAGTCATGCATAAGCAGGCGTGGAGGCATGCGATCCGGAAAGGATGCTACTCCACACGATGTCAGGCCGGCTTATTCTCCTCCTTTCCTCCGTGCTTCCATCCCTTCTTCCTCGCTCTATTCCTCAGTTGGAGGCAATCCAGCGGCTGGCAAATGGTCTTGGGTAGCCGTGTTCACCGCATGGTGGTGCAATTCTAGTCAGGACTCCAGGGCCTCCCTGCAGCGGAGGGAGGAGAGGCGGGCGCATCGGGCGTGGACGAAGAGTTTCTCAGTTCGCACTGGCGGTGGCCGCGGTGCCACAGGGACTTCCGTTGCCGCACGGTGCCGGGCGGCGACCTCGCGTTTCCTCCCTTTGCCTTCTCTGCTCGCCCCTCGTGTGATGCTTGTCGCGTTTCTCCGCTTCAAGCTTACTGAGCAGGATTAGGAGGAGAAGGGGAGGAGGAAATAATGAGGAGTGAGTGGGAGGGGTTACACTGATGAAACAGTTCCACCACTGTGCCAGTCCAGCCTTCTGGGTGGCGAGTATCCGATGGAGCACGGGAGGCCTTCATGCGTGACACCTTATGTCCCTAAGCTTGGGAGAGCCACGAGGAGTACGTTGAGGGATGACGATGACGATGAGGATGATGATGACGATGACGATGAAGATGACGATGCCGATGATGATAGCGATGATGATAATGGTGATGCTGATGCTGCTGATGATCATAATGATGATGATGCTGATGATAGTGATGATGATGATGATGGTGATGATGATGATGGTGATGGTGATGGTGATGGTGGTGGTGATGGTGATGATGATGATCATGATGCCGATGGTGATGATGCTGATGGTGATGATGATGATGGTGCTGATGGTGATGATGCTGCTGCCGATTGTGATGATGATGCTGCTGATGATGATGATGATGATGATTGATGGCTGATGCTGATGCTGATGCTGATGATGTCGATGATGATGATGATGATGATGCGGATGTTGATGATGATGTTGATGATGATGAGGATGAGGATGTTGATGTTTACGATGATGATGATGATGATGATGATGATGACGATGGTGATGCTGCTGCTGATGATGACGAGGATGAGGATGATGATGATGATGATGATGATGGATGATGGATGATGATGATGATGATGATGATGATGATGATGATGATGATGATGCTGATTATGATGATGATGATGATGATGATGATGATGATGATGCTGATGCTGATGCTGATGCTGATGCTGATGCTGATGATGTTGATGATGATGATGATGCTGTTGCTGATGATGATGCTGATGCTGATGCTGATGATGATGACGATGATGCTGCTGATGATGATGATGATGATGATGATGATGATGCTGATGCTGATGATGATGACGATGATGCTGGTGCTGCTGATGATGACGAGGATGTTGCTGCTGATGCTGTTAATGATGATGCTGCTGAGGCTGATGTTGATGATGCTGCGGCTGCTAATGCTGATGATGATGCTGATTGGTGGTGCTGGGGGTTGTGGTGGTAGTGATGATGCGGTTGGTGATGCTGACGTTGTTGAACATTATTTATTCTAAAGAATAATTATTGTTGGGCCCCCTGGTGCGCGCCCCCCCTGCGCCGCCTAGGCCGCAGCTACATTTTCATCATTTTCGTGAGGAAGCCTCAGAAAAGAGGGTGTGTACAGGATCCGGTTGTTTTGTTGTAATCCGCTTTCCCTTGCAAAAAACAATAGAAAATGACATTTCTTGTTCTAATATAATCAAATTTCAAGAATCCCTTGCAAAAAATAAGGTAAAGTGGACATTCGCGCGCGCAAGACGAAATCCTTCCAAAACCTTAGTGTTCGCAGCGATTTTAACATAAAAACATCAAAAAACCAATGGTTTTTCAACAAAAAATTGTCAAAATCTCATCCCGCGCGCTCTTGCGGATTCGTAGGAAACCCAACACTTTTTAAACATTTCTGTCAAACGGGCTTTTGCGAGCAACTTTTTCGAACTTCTGCGACAACGGTTGCGCACCTGCCAGGGCCATCATCCCTGTCAAATAATACCATGCGGGACACATTCGTTTTTTCTTCGCGCGCGCACGCCGAAATCTCCAAAAACCATTGGGCTTCTTAAGAATTTTAGCACCGCGCATCATAAAATCATACGAATCGCACCGTAGGTCCTCGAAAAACACCTGCACGACTTTTCAAAATTTCTACCCGCGCGCGCTGTCCGAATCCTAAAAAACCCGCTGGCCCTGAATAGTAGCCACGGTCGTCCGCATGCCACGAAGTGAAGTGTCCGAACGTCATAGGGCGGGAAGCTGGGTGTGGGTGGTGGCGAAGAGTCGTTTGGAAGTTTGGTAGAGCTTGAACCGGCCCCCCCACAAAGTGGGGGTATTGCCCGCCTCCTATGAAAACCCTGGCACTGGTGAGAACGGTGTGTCCCCACGTGCTAGTAATTGGTGTTGTTGTTGTTGTTGTTGATGCTGTTGTTATTGGTGTTGGTGTTGGTGCTGGTGTTGGTGTTGTTATTGCTGCTGTTGTTGTTGTTGGTGTTGTTTGAATGGTTGTTGATGTGGTTGTTGTTATTGGTGGTGGTGGTGGTGGTGGCGGTGTAGTTGTGGATGAAGATGGTGACTACGAGGATGCGGATGAGGGTGGCGATGCTGATGCTGTTGATGATGTTGCTGCTGATGTTGTTGTTGACGTTGGCAATGGCGATGCTGCTGATGTTGATGACGATGAGGCTGATGATGATGCGGAGGATGACGAGCAGGAGGAGGGGGCACGCGGCATCGATGGAAGAGGGATGACGCAGGTGACGGGACGCAGGAGGGAGAAGCGGGGACGCAGGACGGACGAGGATGGGCGAGGGAGGGACGACTGAGAGCTGTCGCTCGTCTCGATATCCTGATGTTCCCCGGGCCCCGCCTCTCTCCCCCCGGTCATCCTCATGTTCGTCCCTGTTGCCCCCCAAAGGAGGAGGAGGAGGAGGAGGAGGAGGAGGAGGAGGAGGAGGAGGAGGAGGAGGAGGAGGAGGAGGAGGAGGAGGAGGAGGAGGAGGAGGAGGAGGAGGAGGAGGAGGAGGAGGAGGAGGAGGAGTACGAGGAGGAGGAGGAGGAGGAAGTTCCCGTCCCATCCCCTGTCTCAGAGGGGAAGGAGTCTTTGCGCGGGGGTGCAGGGCATTGACAGTTTCGGACTTCGTAGCAGCGCTTCCCTCAGGTTGTCGGCCTGCATGCGAGCACCGCGTTGGTCTGTTTGATGTCCTGGTACGTCATACCCGTGGCAAGGACGACATTTGGTTGTCTGCTTTCGTGAGTTTGTTGCATCGTCCTCTCGTCAGTTGGGCATCGTCTTATGCTTCTCATTCCTCGTCTAAGTGCGTATGAAAGGCAGTCTTGAGGCCTCGCGACATGCATCCCGATCCCCAGCATTTCTCACACCTTGGGAGCATTGCACAGTTTTGCAGAAGACCGCGTCTACATAATGGGGACGCACGGAAGTCATAACCCTGGCAGAACATGCTCGGGCTCGGGTTCGTCTCGCTTCGAACGGTGCGCATCCAGGTAGACGATCCACCAGTACGTTCTCCTCCACCTCGTCGCCTTCCTTCCACGGCCCTCCGCCTCTATTACGCCTCCGCCTTCTCTTGCTCTTCTGGTTCTTTCGTTTCCCAACTCTCCTGTGGTGCTGTGTGCTCGTTTTGAAGAGGCAGCGCCCGCGTCTCCTCCTCGCCTGTTCTCTCCTCCTCCCTCCTTTCCCTCCTCCCGCTTCCCATCCCTGCCTCTGCCCTCCGCACCAGTCAACCATATCGGCACACCCCTCACACGTTTCGTGGCCCCGTAGGGAGCTCCTCCGAAGGCCCCAGTGGCTGTGCTCGCATGCGTCTCCTCCACTCAGCACAGCGCTTCGTGGCCACATAGGGAGCTCCACCCAAGGCCTCAGTGGCGGTGTTCGCATGCGTCTTCCCCATTCATTACAGCGTTTTGTGGCCCCATCAGGAGCTCCACCGAACGCCCCAGTGGCGTTGTTCGCATGGGTCTCCCCCGCCCAGTGCAGCGTTTCGTGGCCCATAGGAAGAAGCTGCACCGAAGGCCCCAGTGGCGGTGTGCGCATGGGTCTCCGCCACCCAGTATAGCGCTTCGTGGCCCCAGCGGCTCCACCGAAGGCCTCAGTGGCGGTGTTCGCATGCGTCTTCCCCACCCAGTGCAGCGTTTCGCCACACCCAGCACAGCGTTCCGTGGCCCCCTAGGGAGCTCCACCGAAGGCCCCAGTGGCGGTGTTCGCATGCGTCTCCCCCGCCCAGTACAGCGCTTCGTGGCCTCCACCAGGCTAACTTTTGCGACTTTTATTCCTGATCCATTCATCCCCCCCTCCGTCCTTTCCTTGTCCTCTGCCTCTTTTTCGTCTTACTGAGGGCCTCTCCACCTCTCCCTCCCTCCTTCATCCTTCATTCCTTCTCCTCCATCCAACATGTGGGGCAATGTTCGCACACGGCAGGTCCGTATGGCAATGGCCGTCCCCGTCGCACCGATCAGTCTTGCAATGAGGCGGGAAGAAAAGGATCATGTCAGAAGTAACAGTAGGGATCGATGAAGGACGGGAATGGAGGAGGACGGAGGAGGGAAGAGGAATAGACGAGGGAATGAATAAGTATTCCAAGTACGATTACGCCCCAGAAGAGGTGTTCGCGACATTCGCGCATGGTTCTAGTCGAACTGTGCGCAGGATGGTTTTGCTGAGATGTCCCGAGGGGCTTCGGAGAACTAAGGTTCTACGGGATTCCGCAGGCACTTAGGACGCGATTGTGGCCTCTGGGGAGCCTCTGGAGGATTTTAGAGTGGGCTTTTGAGGCCCTTTGGGGGTGCTGGGGCCATTTCGGGCGCCACGGTTCTACCGAGCTCTCCCGAAGGGGCGGGGTAATATTTTGGGGCCATCCGGACTCGTTTGGCGTCCCTCTCGGTGCCATCGTGGGCCGGGGAGAGTGTCAGGAACATACAAACATGTTTCGCGGTTTTCGACATGGTTTTGCAGCCAGAGTGGGGAGGTCGGCTCCAATCAGCTTGGCGAAGAACCCAATCACATGCAGGTGTGAGTACCGTAGTTGTGGGTAACGTCTTCGGTGGAGCCCCCTGTGGGCCACGAAACTCTGTACTAGGTGAGGGAGACGTATGCGAACTTTGCCACTGCGGCCTTCGGAGGAGCTCCCTAAGGGGCCACGAAAACGCTGGTCGGGGCGGGGGAAACGCATGCGAGTGCAGCCACTGGGGCCTTTATGGAACTCCCTAGAGGGTCACGGGACGATGTACTGGGCGGGGGAGACGCATGCGAGTTCCGCCACCGGGGCCTTCGGTGGAGTTCCCATATGGGACCACGAAACGTTAGACTGGGTGGGAGAGACGCATGCGAGTGCAGCCATTGGGGTCTTCGGTGGAGCTCCCTATGGGGCCACGAAGCGCTTTACTGGGTGGGGGAGACGCATGCACAAACCGCCACCGGGGCCTTCGGTGGAGCTCCCTGCGGGGCCACGAAACGTTGTATTGGGCGGGAAAACACAATTCGAGTTCCGCCACTGGGACGTTCGGTGGAGCTCCCCTATGGGGCCACGCAGCGCTTTACTGGGTGGGGGAAGCGCATGCGAGTGCAGCCAATGGGTCCTTCGGTGGAGCTCCCAATGGGGCCACGACGCGCTGTACTGTGGGGGAGACGCATGCGAGTTCCGCCACTGGGACCTTCGGTGGTGCTCCCTATGGCGCCAAGAAGCGCTGTGCTGGGTGGGAGAGCCGCATGCGAATTCCGCCACTGGGACCTTCGGTGGACCACGAAGCGTTGTACTGGGCGGGGGAACCTCATGTGAGTTCCGCCAATGGGTCCTTCGGTGGAGCCCCCTACGGGACCACGACAATTTCTACTGGGTTGGGGAAACGCATGCGAGTTTCGCCACTGGGACCTTCGGTGGAGCTCCCGATGGGGCCACGACACGTTGTACTGGGTCTGGGAACGCATGCGAATTCCGCCGCTGGGGCCTTCGGTGGAGCTCCCAATGGGACCACGAAGCGCTGTGCTGGGTGGGGGAGGCGCATGCGAGTTTCGCCATTTGGACCTTCGGTGGAGCTCATTATGGGGACACGTAGCGTTGTACTGGGTGGGGGTGACGCAGGCGAGTTCTGCACCTTGGACCTTCGGTGCAGCTCCTTAAGTATGGTGCCAGGAATCGCTGTACTGTGTGGGAGAGACGCATGCGAATTCCGCCACTGGGGCCTTCGGTGGAGCTCCCTAGGGGCGGCGAAGCGCTGTGCTGGGTTGGGGCAACGCATGCGAGTTCCGCCACTGGGACCTTCGGTGGAGCTCCCACTGGCGCCAGGAAGCGCTCGATGTACTGGGTGGGGAAGCGCATGCGAGTTCCGCCACAGGGACCTTCGGTGGAGCTTCCTACGCGACCATGGAGCGCTGAACTGGGCGGGGGGACCTCATGCGAGTTCCGCCACTGGGACCTTCGGTGGATCTCCCTGTGGGACCACGAAACGTTGTGCTGGGCGGGGGGGGGGGGGGGGGGCAATTCGAGTTCCGCCAGTTGGACCTTCGGTGGAGCTCCGTATGGGGCCACGAAACGCTGTACTAGGTGGGGTGGACGCATGCGAGTGCACCCAATGGGACCTTCGGTGGAGCTCCCCTGTGGGGCCAGGAGGCGCTGTGCTGGGCGGAGGAGACGTTTGCGAGTTCCGCCGCTTGTGCCTTCGGTGGAGCTCCTTATGGGGCCACGAAGCGTTGTGCTGGGCGGGGGAACCGCGTGCGAGTTCCGCCGCTGGGACCTTCGGTGAAGCTCCCCACGGGGCCACG